GGTATGTAGACCCTCAGATATCATGGGTGGATATCCTGGAGTGAAAATGCACGTGCGAGTTTTTTTTTTTTTTTTTTGGTTGTCAACAATGACATATGTGAATGGTGAGTTTCCTCCTTTGGACACCACCATAAAAGATGTATCAACACCATCCCTTTCAAGCTCATCAAGTATTCTTTCGCCATGCGACTCATCGGCAACCTTAGATATGATCCTTGGATTAAGACCAAGACGAATTTTATCATCCGGGTTTTATCAAAGCATTGCAAGTGTTACCACCTCCTTGAACCTCAAAGCTGGTGCTCCGAATTTTATCATCCAGGATGGGGAATGAAGCTACAGCAGCCAGGAAGTCAACACCGGCCATTCCAACACCTCAGACAATGCGATTTTTGGGGAGCGGCGGATTCCACATTTTCAGCTTGAAACTTCAATGAATTTCAGGTAGAATAACAGAGTTTTTGAGGTTGTGCACCAAGTAGTTGTGGTCAGAGAGAGAGAGAGATGGGAAGGATATTTGTGGTCAATATGGAAGGGAGGACTTATAGGTGCAAATTCTACATCACGCCATCTACAACTACAACTGCTATTTACCATAGGAAGGTTCGCCGACCTGCTGCCCTCTCTGCTTCGCCGGAACCAAAAACAACCGGTGAAGGCCCCAACCTCGCCAGATCTGTTGCTGCACCGCCAGATCTGCCTTACTGGTCCGTCGCCGGAAGGAGTTACTGCATCGTATGCTCGCCGCCGTACCCACAACTCGCCGGAGAAGAACCTCGCTGCTACTCACTACCGACGGTTACTACTTAGCCACCAAGTCTCGCCATCTCGCCTCACAGGAGTCACAGCAGCGCTGGTCTAAACAAGATTAGGAGAATAAGACATAAAAAGACAGAAAAGCCCTTCTAATTCACGGTCAACAAACGGCTTCATTGACGGAGGATCAAAACTGTCCAACGACCAATAACAGTGTCTACTAAGTGGCAATTTTTATTATGGAGGATGAAAAGTGTCAATGCCTCAATAAGTCTAGGACCAAAAATGACATTAATTCCGGAATATAATACAAGAATATTTAATTATGGTTATATTATTATTGTGCCTCACGACCATTATATACTAACAGTACTTGAAAAGAATCTAATAATAATAATAATAATAATAATAATAATAATAATAATAATAATAATAATAATAATAATATAATAATAATAATAATAATATAAGTGGTAATAATAATATCTAAAAGTAATTAAGTGTTAATAATAATAGTAAGAATACTAACGTAAGAGTTGTAACATAGAATAAATTGTAATAATTAATAACTATAGTCTAAGATTAAATTTGGAATTGTCAGGAAAGATAAACGACCTCTGGTGAAATTAACTCTTAAATAATTATATATCGATTTAAATATTCTTAATATATTACAACAATTCTATTCCGTGCATCGCACGGGTGAAAATACTAGTTTAGATTAAAATTACAAGCGTTATTTTACTATAAATCTAATCTATACTATTAATAAAAATAAAATTATTCATTTTAATTTCTCGCCCAAAATAGTCCTATATACTATTAAAGTTTGCCGAATCTATATCTATATCTATAGATCTATATAAAAACAAAATCCTCCTATTACATTTTTCAGCCCAAACTTTTGTAGTAAAATTTATTTGGTAAGTAATTAAATGTCCAATAGAAATTAATTAAATCTATTAATTGTTAATATTGCATAATTGGTAATGTTATGTATGGTATTATATTCTATAATATAATTGGTAATATTATTGTTCAAGTATAATAAAAACTACCCTATGTAATATATAATAATAATAATAATAATAATAATAATAATCTATATATATATATATATATATATATATATATATATATATAAAGTAAAATCATTCTAACTAATTTTCTTGCCCAAACTCAGGCCCATTTTAATCAAACCCTTAATTTCATTAATATGGACGTTCAAGACTATTTGTCTTTTAGCCTTGGATTCCTTTTCATGTTAGCCTAATTTTGTTATGTTTTTAGAGAGTAAGGGCATATTAGATGCAGTTATTGCCGAAAAAATTAGTATTAATATTTATAATATTCTACATCGTTAAATAAAAATAGAACGAAAATTAGGTAAAAATATCACTGCATATATATTATAATTGACTAATTGATTGAAAATATAAAAGGAAATTGATATTAATGCATATTTGCCAAGCACCTTGTGCTTAGATGGCATGTAGTGACCTCTCCCATGTGGGAGGTCATGAGATGAAGCCTCAGTGGAGGCATTATCTCAATAATAATATCTACATCATCAATTAAAAACATTTGATATTCTAATTGACTGAAAATAAAAAAGAAAAGGATCACTAATTGAGTGTGTGTTGACACTACAATTGGTGATATTATGTTTTTTTTTTAATGACAAAATTGCTATATATCTAGACAATATATATATATATATATATATATATATATATATATATCTTCTATATATACAAATAAATTAAGATAACAATTCATTGCTATAATTGAGTTGCTAGAAAACGAGCACATTTGCGTAATTTATATAAAAAAAATACTAAATGATGATAAATAAAATCTCCAAAGTTACAGCACTGCATGTGTACATTTACATATTAGTTATTAATTTGAGCAATTATTTACTCAAATTCAAACAATGATAACATCAAAACACATAAATGATTCAAATCACATCTTCAATTCCACGAAATAATATTTGATGCTCTAATTTAAATAATTATATATCAATCCAAATATTCGTAATATATTACAACAAATCTATCCCGTGCATCGCACGGGCGCAAATACTAGTATATTTAATAATATAAAAACAATATAATAATCACATCATTTAAGCTTTATGAAAATGTCCTTTTTAGTTTTTTTATATCTATCAGCTTATAAAAAAAGTAATTTTACTAAACACTTTTAAGCATAATCAGCTAGTTAACAACTCTTCAGTTTTTAGCTTCATTCTAGTTTATAGTTTTTCAGCTTTAAGCTACCTTTCCATGTAAGTTTGCCAAATATAACCTATACCTTTCACTAATTCAGCCCTCCTTTGAGGAAAGGGAGTTGGAAGAAGACGCGAATCCCATACACTTAGTTAATTGATTTGATTGGTTTAAGTTGCCATTAAAAAGGGAGTTGGAAGAAGACGACATCCCTCCATTCGCTTATCACTTCGTACACAAATTTGAATAACTCTAGCATTAATAAGCGCTTAACATGACAAGCTAAGGTTGAGTTATGCAAGTATATAAATATTAAAGTTGAACATCCACCCTAAGCAAGAAAGATGATTGAGACATAATATATAATAATTCAAATTAAATACTAGCAAACATTAAACACATGCATTATATTGGAGGACACAGCTAGCCGCAAGCTGCTAGTTGCCTCCAGGGTAGCCATATCTCTCACTAATCTAACTCTACTTTGAAAAAAGAGAGTTGAAAGAAGACATGAATCTCATATGCTTAGTTAATTGATTTTATTGGTTTAAGTTGCCATTAGAATAGAGTTGCAAACTAATTGAAAGTTCAATATCTAAGAGAGTGGCATTGACATGTAATAGTGTCAGTTCACTTATTAGTTATTACACGGTCTTAATGTTGGAAAAATAGCATAAAATGATATTTTAAGTGGCTACTTTGTGGTACAATTATTAGTGGGGTCCACTTCCAAATTGAGTCGGGTTCTTCGTAATAAGACAAAGAGATTGATATATTGTACGTTAAAAACGGATAATGGGTGAATGAGAAATTGATTATCAAAGTAGACCCATTTGAGTTGGAAAATGAAGGGAAAATGCTTTAAAGTAGCTTTTGTTCCACATTGGCTTGGGAAGTGAGTTTGCACCACTATTTATACAAGAGCCTTTCTAAGAAATATTGACTTGTATAGCATAGATGTTCTCTCGCGCGCGCATGAGAGGGGGGTGCAAATAAAATCCCAAAGTGAGCCTAAAAAAGGCTTGGAAGTAATATTTTCCAACTATTAGTTATGAAGAAGTCTTCCGGAATGGGCATCTCCTTCTGGAGCTGTTGTCCTTTTCAGAAATGGTACGCATCCGTACAACCAGGTATTGAATTAACTCCCAGATAATCAGATATTGGCCTGCTGTTATAGGTGTTACAAAGCTGATTTAGTCTCAGTTTTAATGCCATGAATTAAGCGTTATTTAATCCTCAACCCCTATATAAGTTGATGGTAGAGCAGTAGATTTTTACACAACGAAATCAAGTTGTTTTTCTCTTCCGAAATTCTGCTTCTACTCTTTTCTTAGCCAACTTGTGTTCCTCCCAAAGCTCTAGTTTGTCGGATTCCATTGTTTGAATGTTCAAACTTTGAATTGTATAGTAGTACGTTTTATCCTGGAAAACCTAGGCTGTAATGCTCCTAGCACACTTGGGAGACGGCAAATAAAGTTTTAAAGAGAGACTGTAACTCGACTCGTACTTACAACCTATCAAATCCCTTCATCCCCGTGGTTACTTTCTTCCCAGAAATTTTCAATTTTTCCCAAAAAATGATAATCCTTTTTTTCGTAAAATTATTATTGTTTTTCGTGTATTCCGTACAACACTTAATTATATTCTAGGAACACTATAACACCAAGGTAGCTTGGTCCAAGTGGACCAAGTCCGGCTTTTTAAATTTGATTTTTTAACTCAATTATTGTTTATTTTGTTGATTTGCTTTATTTCACATGAATCGTATCTTTATTGAGTTATCTTTCAAGTACTATATGCTCTTGTGCTTAATCATTCACTATTCAACCTTTTTTAAGGTAAACCTGGCGGTTGTATTTATAGATAAGCTGAAATAGAGTTCGGTGGGACATTGTCCTAGTACATAGTCGTAGCGAAATCAAAAGCTGTAGTAGCTAGGGAATGAGCTAATAAATTCTGTAATCTAGGAATAAAAATAACTGAGCAGAAAGTGAAAACAGATATGTAGGTTCAGCAACTATCAATAGCATAACGTAGATATGAACGTGATGTGGTAGGTGGTCCAGACAGATAACTCTGTAGCAACTGGCAGTCCGTGTGAATTTGTATAAACTGTTCATCCCGCCTTCTAAGCCAGGATAAGGCTTCCTTGCATGCAAATGTCTCGGCCATGAGTGGGGAGAAGCAACCTATTAGGGGGGCACTGAAAGCTGACACATAACGGTCGTCGGCGTCGAGAAGAACCGCACCGACTGTAGCCGCATTTGTTCCGTGATGGTAACTGGCATCTATGTAACATTTCCTTGGCCTTGTCATCGTGCCACGTGGGAGAGCAGGGTGGCTGCGTGGTGGAGACGGCGGACGCCCGGCGATCGGCATGATAACAGCGTCGGTTGGCAGAATGTTTCCGGCAGTAGGGGCAGCCGCGACAACTTCGGAGGTTGGAGCAGATTGGCGAGCAGCCTGCCGTGTGGGGATACGGTGATGGATAGCTTCCCATGCCTTCACAGTAGCAGCTACAGTCACAAGTAAAATTTCGTTGGTCTTGGTAGACAGGCATCCCAGACCGCACCGTTTCGGGCTCTCCATAGATGGTATAATATTGCAGCTGTATAAATAATTCCATTAAAGTCTAGAACATTCAAGATTGCACTAAACCATTCATGGAAAAAACATTTGTGATAATATTGGGGAGTGGAAGGTTGGATTGAGTCCATATGGAGTTTGCATAGTCACAGAAAACTAATGCATGCATGGTGTCCTCATTCATCATTCCACACATGGCACACACCGGACTAACATCTACCCTTTTTATAAGCAAATTGTTGGTAGTAGAAAGGATATCACAAATAGCTCTCCATAGGAATGTCTTCCATTTGGGTGGGATTTTTAACTTCCATAGGGCAAGCCATTTATCAAATGCTCCATTAGAATTATCCTCATAATTACCAACTATACGCCTGTACCCATTCTTGACCGAATAACATCCATTAGGATCTTCATACCAATACCATATGTCTTCATACTCAGGGGTAACAGGTATCCTTTGGATTCTAGGTATATCAATTGGTTGAAAAATATCAGCTAGAATATGTGTTAGGAACCTTGTATTAAGATTTTGATGATACCAATGTAATGTAGAAAGTATACCCCTAACTATTAGCTTTTTCGATCGCTACTTTCGTCCTAGACGAGAGTTGCCATAACTCCCCTGTAATTCGTGTTAAGCTAGACAAACACACGAAAATGAGTTATGTCTAGTTGATAGGGTCTCCAAGACGAAAGAAGACACAAGGCATGATAGACAACAACGAGATTTAATAAGGAGTTGTCAACTAACTCGAAAGGATAGTTTTATTAAAGACAAATCTCACCAAGCATTCTTTCTCTTTAACAACGAGAAGAATGTTTTGTCTGTCTGCTTTGACAACATCCTAGGAACATAAGGACCTCAACTTGTGGGACACGTTTACCAAGGAACATTAAATGAAGATGTACCATCTCCTGGAGCTAAAGGACAAAACCCTAATGCCTTCCATACCTTCAACGGCTACATGGTACAACCTCATTAATGGAGCATTTAATGCATGAAGCTCCCTGGTCCTTATCCACTGGATAAAAGGTTTGAAAATTTCATCTCCCTCCAACGGATGAATTTTCATCACCTATATAAACCCACCTTCATCAACTAAGAAGGTGCTGGTTCCATTCACTCGATCCATATATGCAAAAGCTCTTAAAACGCTCTCAGCTCTCTCAAGCTTTTGTGAACCAGTGTTAAGGTGCTAAGATATTTGAAAAAGTTCATTGATCATCATCTTACACCTTAAAGAAGTCTTGCCGTTTGTACGAAGCAATCATCTCACACAGTTAAGACTTCATCAAGTTGGAGAAATCAGAAATCCTTTTCTACCAACCTCAACTCTGGAGAAGAAGTTGATAGAGGCGGAGTAAACTCGAGGAGTTGAAAAACCTACGAAGGCTGTCCGGCTTAGTGATCAAGGAAGTCTTTGTGTAATTGTACTAACGAGTGATAGTGCAATCCTTCCATAAGTTATGGAAGAAGAGTGGAGTAGGCAACGTTAGCCGAACCACTATAAAATCTCTTGTCTCTCTATCTTTTTACCTACGCTTTTCATTTCTGCATCATATTGACCTCATTACTGTTACCGAAAGTTTTGTTTACAACATAAACTCGTGCAAAGCAAATAATCGAATTTGACATTTCCGCTGCGCCAAAACACCGAAAGGTGATTTTTAGGGCAAAACACGAAAAGAGTCTATTCACCCCCCCCCCCCCCCTCTAGACTCTCACTACACTCTATCGGGACCAACAAGTGGTATCAGAGCCAGGTACAAGTACCCGTTTCCTGGTCAATTAATCCCACCACTTTGGCTGCAGATAAATGTTGTGGCATTTGCGTGTGAACCATAGGACCCAGTTCATTCTGCAGCCAGCGATGTTCCTATATTAAGGTAGATCTCCCGTCCCCAATTCGTCTCCTTATACCACCACATATTAGATCTTTAGCCGCCATAATACTGTGCCAACAAAAGCTTGGATTATTTCCTATATTTGCCTCCAAGAAGGTATCCTTAGGATAATACCTGGCCTTATAAACCCGAGCCACCAATGAGTCAGTGTTAGTGAGCAATCTCCATGCCTGCTTTCCTAACATTGCCAAATTGAATGCTCTCAAATCTTTGAATCCCAGGCCACCATGCTTTTTTGGGATACATAACTTATCCCAGGCTTTCCAGTGAATGCCTCGGTCAGTACCTGTTCCCCACCAGTACCGATTCATAGCTCGCTCAATAGCTGTACAAACAGATATGGGTAGCAAAAAAACACTCATTGAAAAGGTCGGCATTGCTTGTGCCACACTTTTCAACAAAATTTCTTTACCAGCTTGTGATAATAATTTCTTGTTCCAAGAACCAATCCTCTGTCTGATTTTATCCTCAATATATGCAAAAACAGCCATCTTATTTCTTCCCACAAAGGAGGGCAGACCTAGGTATTTCCCAAAATTGGGAGCCTGGGTTACACCTAGGATTTGTTCCAGCATATCCTTATCATACTGCCCTGTATTCCTACTATAGCATACATTGGATTTATGATAATTGACTTTCTGACAAGATAAACTCTCATATAGCGACAAACAATGCTTTATCTCATATGTTTCCGGCATATTTGCGTTGAAAAACAGTAGGATATCATCCGCAAAAAATAAATGAGAAATAGGAGGTGCACCTCTAGCAACCCTGCAACCATGTATTAATCCCCTATCCTGAGCCTGTTGCAACAAAACTGAAAGCCCCTCTGCACAAATAATGAATAGATAAGGGGATAATGGATCTCCCTGTCGGAGGCCACGAGTGGGTGTGATTGAGGTACTTCGGGAGCCATTTATCATAAAAGTATATGACACTGTAGTCACACACAACATAATCAATTCAATCCACCTGTCATCAAAACCCAGCGCCAGTAGCATCCCACGGAGGAAAGGCCATTCCATACGGTCATAGGCTTTGGCCATGTCCAGTTTGAGGGCTCCCCACCCTACAGTCCCACACTGCTTTCTATTAAGGTAATGACCCACTTCTGCTGCTATAAAAATATTATCAGTAATCAATCTGTCTGGTATAAACGCATTTTGTGAGCTAGAAATTATACTTTCCATTAAAGGCTTCATTCTCTGTGTAATCATTTTGGCCATTATTCTGTATATCACATTGCTCAAAGCTATTGGCCAAAAATCTGCAACCACCTCAGGGGTTTTCTTCTTTGGGATGAGCACAACATCCGTATTATTTAGCTCAGAGGGGAATATCCGATTATTAAGACAATTGAGTATAAATGTCAAAATATCATCACCAACTACATCCCAGAACTGCTGGTAGAAACCTGGGTTCATACCATCCGGGCCAGGTGTTTTGTCCGCGGCCATCGCAAAAAGGGCATCCTTAAGCTCAGACACTTCAAAGGGGCGTAATAATAACTCATTTTGAGCCTGGGTAACACGTGGGGATACCTCAGCAAATAAATTGCTACCATCCATAGGGTTACTAGTGGAGAAGATATGACTAAAATATTCCAAGATAATCGTATTCATAGCATTTCCTTCCATCCAATCCCCATTATCATTCATAAGCTTATAAATAGTATTTTTCTTTTTTTACGGTGAGAGGCATACATGTGGTAGAATTTCGTATTGGTGGCATCCGCATTCTTGAGCCAGTGTTGTTTGGCTCTCTGTCTCCAGTAAGTATCTTCTTGGATTTCCATATTGCTCAGAATTCCCTCCAGCCGCTGGAATTCAGTTAGGGATGCAGGATCAGTGCGTCCCCTAAGATGTAATTGCTCCTTACGCAGATGCATAATCTTTTCACCGAACTTATGATACCGGTCACCCCCCATCGGGATAATTGACTCCAACAGTATGCTATGCACTCTTGGATCCCTTCATTCCTCCCTTCCTCCCATGATCTTTCCACCACACCCCTACACCCTTCATGATACACCCAAGCCATTTCGAAACGAAATCCTCTCTTTCCTCCTCCCCCATTCTGAAACATCTCATGAATACTCAAGAAAAGCGTAGAATGATCTGATTTCCTCATCAGTGTATTAGTAACTCTGGCCCCTGGCACAATTTCGCGCCAAACATTAAAAGCTAGCACTTTGTCCAACTTCTCCTCAATGCATGCAAGCGTACCTTTCCCCTTCTCCCAAGTAAAATGATAACCCTCCATAGGCAACTGAGATAAGCCACACTATTCAATAGTCTCCCCAAAGCCGCGTAGGAGATCATCTGGATGTGGGTTACCTCCGCTCTTCTCGTATTGAAACAGAAGATCATTAAAGTCCCCAATCATAACCCATGGGAGAGTGGAACGTGGTGCAAAGGACTTTAATAATCCCATGCTTCTGATCGTCTATGGCGCTGAGGATAGCCATAGTAGCACGTAATTCGCCACTTTGGAAAGCTGGACATATTTACTTCAATATCAATATGATTATTTGAGTAGCTCAAAAGACTTGCCGTATTATTCTTTCGCAAAAGCAGCACTAAACCACCACCCAACCGAGTCGGATCAACATAAAAAGACCATCAAAGCCAAAACTAATGCGAATTCGTTCAGCATGTATTCGCCCCACCTTGGTTTCCATGAGAAAAATAAAATTAGGCTTCTTACGCGATGCAAGGTCCGTTAATTCTCGAACTGTTCGTGGATTGCCCAAGCCATGAAAGTTCCAACTGATAATACTCATAATGATGGGCGGGTCTGGGAACCAGAACCCGCCACAGACAAGTTTTTTTGGATCTCTGTCATAACAATATCACTGGCAACATTCGCATTGCCCCAGTGCCCATATTCAATTCACCCCTTCTTCTCTTGGACGCTGCCATGACTGACACATTCTCCCCACGGGCAAATTCAGTTGTTGCCTCCCTATGGCTTAGCTCATCAACACGCAATCCAGGCGCTATATCCGAGGGGGTTTCCACCATGGGGTTACCGTTCTTGTCTAGGAGCCATGAAGCTCCCACCTTGCGTGGACCCTTCCTCAATCCAGCGCGTAAATTATCACCATATGGATATTGATCCACCGACATGCCCGCATCTCGCGCCTTCAAACAATATTTGTGCAAATGCCTCATCATACCACAGAAATAACAAAAGTTGTGTAATCTTTCGTACTTGAAATTAACCCAGCAAGTCGACTTATCCCTTTACAGAAGCTTCATGCGCCGTTTTAGCGATTTTAAGGCAGATATTGAAACCCTAATTCGGTAGAACGTTTTCCATGGTGCATTCACTATTCAACCTAATCCACTTCAACCCACTTTTAAATAACGACATCCTTCATTCCCTTACCACTTCTTACACAACTTTCAACAACTCTAGCATTAATAAGCGCTTAGAGCGCCTAGGCGGGCACCTAGACCGCCTAGGAGGCCGGGCACCTAGCGCCTAGGCGCGATTTTTGCAACAGTGGTATTAACTATTAAATTATTAATTAGTTTATAGTTATCAAGTCTTAAAAAATTTAAAAATTTTTAAAAATAAAAAATACACAGGCGCCTAGGCTCCAATTAATGGCCGCCTAGACGCCCCCAAACGCTCGAAGCGCGCTTAGCAAGTTTTTCAATTATGAGTACTGGTATACAATACTCACTCGTGTTTCAAGACTTTCATGTTCTTATTAAGTTATGAAATATCAAAGTCTCCGAGGCTCAAATCTTTCTTGAGACCCCTAGAATCCGTCAATTACAAAACCCACCACAAATTGGAGTAACAAATTAAATTAGTTTTGTTAAGCATATATCTACGGAGCAAAGCAAGGTAAAACTAATTCATCAAGTCTGATCTTTTAGAGTAAAAGACATTTTTGGTCCTAGACTTATAGTGGTTTGGACAATTTTAGTCCTTTATAAAAAAAATTGCCATTTTATGGACAGAGTTATTGTGGCGAGGACATTTTTGGTCCTCCGTCTATATTTTTGTTAGATAACTGTCTGAGAGAGGGGTAATTACGTCAATTTAGGCTATCTCCTTCTATCTATTATATCTATGTGTGTTTTGTTTTCTTCTCGGTCATAATTCGAAGGAGTCGGAGAGTCCAAGTTGCAGTAAAGGCATGGTTGTGGGCAGAGCATTTCGTAGTGCAAAACTACAAATAAATGAGGGTCAGAGTAAAGGCATGGTTGTGGGACCAAAATCGTCCATCTCACAATAAAGAGATACCCTAAATTTACGTAATTGTCCCTCTCTCATACAGTTATCTAACAGAAATATAGACAGAGGACAAAAAATGTCCTCGCCACAATAACTCTGTCCATAAAATGGCAAATTTTTTTATAAAGGACTAAAATTGTCCAAGCCACTATAAGTCTAGGACCAAAAATGTCTTTTTCTCGATCTTTTATTATATATATACTACTGAAGAAAGATGATTGAGACATAATATATAATAATTCAAATGCATAATATATATATACACTGCCGTCTACTCCAATATAATGCATGTGTGTAATGTTTGCTTGTATTTGAATTATTATATATTATGTCTCAATCATCTTTCTTCAGCAGTATATATATATATATATATATATATATATATATATATATATATATTGAGACATAATATATATAATAATTCAGATACAAGCAAACATTACACACATGCATTATATTGGAGTAGACGGTTGGCAGGGGTGAATCCAAATTTTTTTTTAATGAGGGCGGAACATTAAAGTAAAAGAGATAATTTGAAAAAAAATCAAACATTATTTAAAATAATTTGAATAGAAAACATATTATAAATTACACATCTCATTATTAATATAAAAGGAAGTTATATATATATATATATATATATATATATATATATATATATATATATATATATATATATATATGTATATAAGTGATGACATGTTGCCATGTTGTTAGGTGTGGTCATATGGTCAATTATAGGCCATTAGATTAGATAGATCCAATGAATCATATTAATCAAGATTTTTTCAGAATTTTCGCGCACATTCTCCTACCCAGCGAACTGCAAGGGTAAACTCGTCATAAAATAATGGAATAGGAAAAATCACATTGTTGTGTGTTTTATTACACTATTGGTGCATGTTGTCAACACTGTTGGTATATTCTAGAACCCGGCCGCTATAAATGGCCATTGTAATTACCATAACACGGGAATACACTATTGGTGTGTTTCACTGTGCTGTGTTTAATTTATTACACTATTGGTGTATGTTGTCAACACTGTTGGTGTATTCTGAAACCCGCCCGCTATAAATGGCCACTGTAATTACCATAACACCCCCACTTACCAAAACGCGCGAAAATCCTCAGAATTACCACTGCCGTTAGATTAAACTGATTCAACGACACATATACGACCACACGATCACACCTAATGACATGTGCACATACGAGCGCTCTTATATATATATATATATATATATATATATATATATATATATATATATATATATATATATATATATATATATATATATATATATATATATATATATATATATATATATATATATATATATATATATATATAGGCGGGTTCAGATGCGGCAGTGTCTTACGGTGCGATTATTTCTTACGGTGCGGCAACACCAATAGTTCACCAAATATGCACCATCAACGTTAGGAAATACACCACACAAAACAGAGTAAACAGAGCCCTGCATCACCAAACACACACCATTAGGTGTGAGTAAAAACACCATACACTGTTCGGAAATACACCATTGGGGGTGGTGAGTTATATGGTGTGTTTTTTTTTGAGTCTGTGGTGTATTTTGTGATGTTTTATTACATTTCATTGGGGTGTGTTTTTATTACACTGTTGGTGCATATTGTTAACACTGTTGGTGTATTCTGGAATTTGACCGCACCGCCGCACCGTAAGACCCCGCCGTATATGAGCGCTCTTCTATATATATATATATGTATATATATATATATATATATATATATATATATATATATATACCATTCTAATAAGAGCCAATAATGTTAGGCCCTTAACTGGAATAAAAAAAATGTCGGTACTACTTGTTTCTTAAAATGAATGGTTCATAGTATTTTGATTTTAGTATTTTTAATGATTTTCCTTATTTACCCTTTTTTATATTATTTTCTTTCCTTAAATAACCTTAAATTCCATTAGTATAAACTTTATTAACGGAATATTCCGTTAACTATTTATTATTCTTAACTTACTTATTAATTTCTATAAGAAAGGTCTTAGGTTTGAATCTCATTCCAATTAGAGTTAGCATAATTGTTAAGCATATACTACGAATATGTTAAAATGTATTAAAAAATAAAATATAAAATTTAACATAAACTTTGGTCAAATAATTAGCCCGACTAAATACATAGCATTCAATGATTATAAATCAGGAACTTTGATAATCATTTGATTTTCTTTCATTAAAAAAAATAATAAATTTAAGTTCAGTTTTTTTTTTTTCATTTAATTAATCTTCTTTTGATTATTGAAAACAAAACTTAATATTTCAATTAGGGAAATTTGTAAAAAATACCCCTTTATAATTGACCAATTATCAATGTCGCCCCTGAATTATGAATGGTGTAAATGTTTCCCCTCAATTATCAAAATGGTGCACATATAGCCCCTCCCGTAACGAACCTGTGAGTCCATGTTAGTATAAATCGTTTAGTTGGGGTAATTAAGTAATTTACTTATTTTTTTCCTTTTTCTTTTCATATTTTCCATTTCCCCTCCTCATTTGAGACCATCGCCATTCCTTTTGACGCCTCATTGCCGTTCCGTACCAAAAGCATCAGAAACCGCCGCGTTGATTTCGTTCGCTACCCACGATTCTGACTTCCGGCCGGAGGCGAACCGCTTCATTCCTCCCAAACCAGGCAGTTTAGCTAGCGGTTCAATACTCACTGGTACTTGACGGCTTTTTGTATCCTTCACGCTCTTCCTTGACGGCGTTTGCTGCTCTGTCTTTGACTCCGCCGGTTTCTTTCCATTCCCCGGTTGGATAAGAACACTGAAACTAGCCGCGAGTAGACCCCGTTTTTCCCCTTCCCTCCGACGCTTCTAGATTTTTCTAATTTTTCCGGAGATGATTTCCGGCGACCGCGTTTCAATCGTACTCTTTCTATGCACGAAACCTTGGGGGACGACGGTTCGCCTACCGGTTTCCCCATAGACTCCACACACCGCGGCGGGAAAAGACGGATATTCGCCGGTTTGCTGCAACTCCTCCGCATCGAGTCGGCCTAGTTGTTCTTCTGAGTCTTGGAGCCCTATCGAAGGGGAAATAAAAAATATAAAAAGAAAAAGGAAAAAAAAAATAAATTACTTAATTACCCAAACTAAACGGCGTAGACTAACGTGGACTCACAGGTCTGTTACGGGAGGGGCTATATGTGCACCATTTTGATAATTGAGGGGCGACATTTACACCATTCATAATTTAGGGGCGACATTGATAATTGGTCAATTATAGAGGGGCATTTTTTACAATTTTCCCTTTCAATTATGCTTTTATCAATGCATGAAAACTTCTAAATAAATTTGTAAGTTAATTTTTACTATATTATTATAATAATATCTATTGTAACCTTATATTTTGAATTATTTATTATCATCATCTATTGACAGCAATTGTCACTGACAAACTCTCAAGACAATTTGTCTCAACAACTAATGGAAATTAAAAAAAAAAATCAATGATTTTATTATTGTGGATGAAAAGTATGTACGCCACTTTATTCAATCGTTATGCTGTGGAACTATGTCCACCTTGCGATGTGGACACAGTTTTATGTTCGTAATTACTGAACTATATGTTCATAATTATAAAGCTATATATTCATAATTTTTGAACTTCATATTCATAATTATTGAACACTATATTCACAATTACAGAACTCTATGTTCATAATTATGAAGCTATATATTCATAATTTTTTAACTTCATATTAACAATTATTGAATCTCTATATTCATAATTACATAACTATATGTTTATAATTATGTTCACAACTCTTTGTATGTTCATAATTATAGAACTATATGTTCATAATTTTTGACAATTTTGGAACCGTGTCCACCTTTGTCCGCCTTGCAAGGTGGACACGGTTCCATATCATAATTTTCCCACTTTATTGCTCGTACTACTTGAATTAAAAAATAAATTAGTAGCTACAACAAAAAATAATATATATGCATTTAATTAATTTAGAATTAGATGTCTAACAACACATGAAACATGTAGGTGAAAACTACTACTACCAAATATCAACATGTGCTTGTATGATAAAGAGTTCATAGCACAACTAAGATATCAGTCATATACACAACAAGACAAATCTAAAACTTGATACACCATAATCTCATTGCATGATGAATCCCTCTATGATATTACCAATAAACCAATTGCACATGACACACTACCAATAACCAAAAAAAAAAAAAAAAAAGAAAAAAAGAAGACATGTACTGAAGATGAAAACAATAACAATGCTGCCTAAAAGAGAATTAGAAAAATTTAAGCCGAAAATAGTATTTATTTAGACTATCGCTTTTAGACTTAGTACTTAGATTAACGTTATTACAAAGTTGCAAACATTTATTTTTGTGACAGTTATACATAATCAATCTCTCATATATTATCTTGCATTTAAATATTACTGATTTAAATAAACAAATTCAACATTTATTTACCTATGCATGAACATCTTCTATATAATATTGCATTGATAGACTTTGAAATACTTATTTAAAAATAAGTATTGGCCATTATCCTATTCGCGCAAAGCGCGTAGAAAAACTAGTATATATATATATATATATATATATATATATATATATATATATATATATATATATATATATATATATATATATATATAAAATTCATATTAATATTATTGAGGTAAGAATTATAGAAAGAGTAAATACCCAAAATAGTCCCTCGACTATAGCTAAATTCACAAATTGGTCCTCAACTTTCAATTTCACCCAATTAAGTCCTTAACTTTGCAATTTTGACACGATTTGGTCCTCCATCTAATTGACCGTTTGTTGACCGTGATCGACGATCTCCAGAAGAACCTTCAGCTTTCGTCGGAGCACATGGAGGCCTCCAGGATGACGTTGCACCGGTTCGGAAACACGTCGTCTTCTTCGCTCTGGTACGAATTCAACTACATTGAATCCAAAGGGAGGATGAAGAATGTGACCGGGTTTGGTAGATTGCTTTCGACAGTGGATTCAAATGTAACAGTGCGGTCTGGAAATACAACCGGAACCTTAAAAAACCGATGATGAACCATGAAATTACATATATATCCTCAAAAATCACAGTCAACAAACAGTCAAATAGACAGAGGACCAAATTGTGTTAAAACTACAAAGTTAAGGACTTAATTGGGTGAAATTGAAAGTTGAGGACCAATTTGTGAATTTAGCTATAGTCGAGGGACCATTTTGGGTATTTACTCTTATAGAAATGATAAATTACTAAATATAACTATGGCAACATTTTAATTAAAACCTAAATGAATTTAAACTTACCATTGAAGGATGTAAGAAAAAATATTGTGTATGCATGTACATGGTAATAATAATGTGGAAAGATAACAGAAGTTATAACGGCAGGGATATTTTTGTCCAAAAAATTATGTAGTACAACTTTTATAGCACAAGGTACAAAAAAAATTAACGGAAAAAATGGACATAAACCAGGGGTATAACCTGGATTGAAGCTTATTATGTTTTTAGATATATAATAAGGGGAGAGGGGATCCCCATGCCTGAGCCCGCGAGTGGGTGTGACTCGGCCAGTTGCAACACCACTCACATGGATATTATACTCAACAGTGGTTACACACAACATAATTAATTTGACCCATCGCTCATAAAAACCCATTACCATTAACATTCTCTGCAAAAACTGTCATTCCATTCTATCATAGGCTTTCGCCATATCCAATTTTAAAGCACCCCAACATGTGGCCCCACATTGTTTCCTGTTCAAAAAATGGCCAACCTCTGCAGCTACAAGAATATTATCCATGATTAGCCTACCAGGAATAAAAGCACTATGAGATTCTGAGATCAAGTCTCCCATGAGTGGTTTCATCCTGTTAGTTATCATCTTAGCCATAATTCAGTATAAAATATTCCCCAAGGCTATTGGTATCATATCAGCAACCGTTTCAGGCACGGTTTTCTTTGGGATCAAAACCACATTTGTATCGTTCAAACCATCAGGAAACGAAGCTGTATTTAAACAATTCACCACAAAAGCAGACACATCATCCCCAACAACATCCCAGAAGTGCTGATAAAAACGTGGATTCATTCCATCCGGCCCCGGTGCTTTATCAGGAAACATAGAGAACGGAGCAGTCTTAACTTCCTCAGGCACAAAACGGTGTAATAATATATTATTTTGTTCATGCGACACCCGATGGGAAAAATCATCAAACAAGGGGTCTTCACACACAGAAACACCAGAGGCAAAAATATTTTTAAAGTAATCCAAAACTACCCGGTTCATAGCATCCCCTCGACCCATATGCCCGTATCATTCATAATTCTAGAGACATAGTTCTTTTTCTTACGAGCAGAAGCATACCTGTGATAAAATCGTGTGTTGGCATCTGCACCACGTAGCCAATGTTGCTTGGCTTGCTGCCTCCAGAACACATCCTCCTGGGCCTCTAACTGACTCAACTGAGTCTCTAGACGTTGGAACTCTGCCAAGGCAGCAGAGTCCCTACGGTTTCTGATTTCTTCTTACCTCCTACGAAGGCGTTTGATTTTATCACCAAACTTGTGAAAGTGATCGCCCCCCCCCCCCCCCCCCCCCTCCATCTCATCAACCGATTTCCACACTGTTGTCGTAGGCGTTTGATTTTATCACCAAACTTGTGAAAGTGATCGCCCCCCCCCCCCCCCCCCCCCCATCTCATCAACTGATTTCCACACTGTTGTTGACAATCCAGCAACCCCTGAGACCCCCCCCCCCTCCCCCCTGCCAAGTAGCCTCAACCACCTCCCTACAGCCATCATCATTGAGCTAGGCCATCTCGAACTTAAAGCCCCTCGAACCCCCACCCCTCTGCATGCATGACGCATTAATATTGAGGAAGAGAGCCGAGTGATCCGAATTACGCGTTATAACATTCTCGACCAGAGCTCCACCATTCATAATTTCATATCACACCATCCTGACGTGGCCAATATTTTGTCCAAACGTTCCTCTATTCACCCCTCCGTCCCCTGACTCTTCTCCCAAGTGAACTGGTGGCCCCTCATCGGCAACTGCATTAAGCCACAACCGTCCAATGTCTCCTCAAAACCGCGTAGGAGACTATTTGGATGTGGATTCCCTCCCCTCTTCTCATGTTGAAAAAGGAGGTCATTGAAATCCCCCACCACTACCCAAGGGAGATCGAATCTACCACTCAAGACCTGTAAAAGATCCCACAACTCCTTTCTTCTGTGTCTCTCTGGGAAGCCGTAAAAACCAATCATCCGCCACACCAGACCACTCACATGGGTTACCTCCACATCCACATAATTTTTCGAGTAACTTAGTAAACGCGCAGTGTTATTCTTCCTCCAAAATAGAGCTATTCCGCCACTTTGTCCCGTACTATCAATGTAAAACATACCTTCAAAACCAAGACGAACACGGAGACGTTCCGCATGCACACGTCCCACCATAGTTTCCATCAAAAACACAAACTCGGGCTTCTTACGGGACACCAAGTCCTCAACTTCCCGAACTGTTCGTGGATTGCCCAAGCCACGATAGTTCCAGCTTATGGTACTCATAATGAGGGGCGGGTCTGGGAGACAGAACCCGTCGTAAACAAGTTTTTTGGAACCTCGGTCATTGTATTATCCTCCCCTTGCCTTTCCGTTCTCCTACCACACAGCAACTCCTCCCGCCGTCTCTTTGCTACCGCCACCATCGGGTTATTAGTGTCCCCCCAGACATCCCCCACGACCGCCGGTCCCGTATCCGGCACCACCCCAGCTCCCTTCTCCCCGGTTACCACCCTCGGCTGCCCTTCGGGCGGTATCAACCAGCTTTCCCCCACTGCACTTGGTCCACGGCGGAAACCCGCACGCATCTCCGCAGAGTACGAATAGTCCTCGACACCCAAAGTAGACTCCTGTGCTTGTAAGCAGAATTTATAGAGATGGCCAAGCTTACCACAGAAGAAACAAAAGTTATGCAGTCGTTCATACTTGAACCCTACCCAACATGTCGATTTATCCCGCTTCATAAACCTCATTCTTCGGCGCAAGGGTTGGTCAATTGGAATTGCCACTCGAATACGATAAAACTCCTTCCACGGGGCATTCACAAACCTGTCATCCACCTTAATAAACGAACCTAAGGTGTTCCCAATCTGCTCCAATATCTTGTCCGACGTATATCCCATCGGCAAGGCATGAACCTGAACCCACATGTCAAGAGTATCCAAACTTACATCGCCCGGCAACATTTCGTCCGTGAGCTGTCGGCAAACCAGTGTGGCGTTGTCATATGCCCACGGACGCTCCATCACACGTTTTATGTCTGTCCTATGGTGGAAAAAAAACATAAAGAACCGGGGTTGTACCTCCGTAACCTGCATGCCCTTGACCGGTTGCCAAACCGACGCCAAAACCTGACTCATAAACTCAATCTTCACCATCTTGCGCGTCAAGAAGCGGCCAACTAGCTGCCATGTTCCTTCGGTGTCACTGTCGTCCGTCTGTACATCGTTCGGCGCCGGTTCGAACGTAAAGTCATCCTCCCCCAACGCCATATCTGCCCAGCGCTCCGTTATGGCCACAACACTAGCCTCCGCCGGCGTCGTCGACATCAAGTTAGTCGTCGAAGGCGATGGGCTCGTAGCTGTCGTTCCGTTGCGATGATTTCCGGCGATCGGTCGTAGGGAAAACAGAGAGACTGTAGGAAACCCTAGAAAAACCTAGAGAGAGAATTTTATAAAATGCATGAGATTCTAATTATGTGAAAAACTATGAATGTATGTAACTTAACATTCCTAACAATTTAATATTCCGTGAACCTAACGCCCTTATAGCAACATATTTAATTACTAAAAATAATAGTAAGGGTGTGTTTGGTTTGCACATGGGAATCGGAATCGGAATGGGTATCAAATACTTGGTAATGGTAATGGGTTTTGGTAAAAGTATTTCGCATGTTTGGTAGTAGGGTGGAATGAGAATGATTAGACTAAGGATGAATAATGAGATGAAACCCTTATAAAATAAGGGAATGAGTTTTTCTATTAATGGAGTATTCCAAACCTATAGTAGTGTTTTAAAAACCAGTCAACCAAACAATAACAATCACTTTCATACTCATACCTGAGTGTTAAACCTGCCAACCAAACACACCCTAAATAAGTACCTAACACCATCTATAACTTTTTGAATTGATAAAAATATATAAAGTGAAATGTGAATTGATGTCTACAGCTCATTTTATATTATCAGTCTATCACATTCATTAAACGTGGAAACAAATTTGCTATTTCGAAATTAGTTAAATTTAGACCGTAGAAATTGGTCTACATGCATACTACTAAAGCACAAAATTTTTGATTGGCTACGGCTTAGATAGTTGAGTCAAGTATTCTTGAAGTTGATTGTTATATATATAGGTATAAGAATAAAGTTATGATTTCGCTAGTAGTTATAATTCTGTAGTGATAAGCGTTGAGCAAGTCCAAGTTCTATCAAGCATATGCAAGGTGTTAATTGTTACACAAATATAATAAATTAAATTACGCATTTACTACTGCTTAATAGCCACGGACTTAGTTGTAAGTATCTAATTTGATAGTACTTCATCTGATGAAGAGTAAAATTAGCCGCCCACGAGGTGTGCGACAGGTTTAAAAAATTATTAATTTCAATTGTCAATATAAAATACATTCTTTCGTTTGTGTTTTAATTATCTTCTTGGAATCTAACGGTTTGCATTATATTCAATCCTTATGCTACGGACTAGGATTCACAGTACACTATGAACCTTGATGCATGTGTATGTATCTTATGTTATGAGTTTTTGTATTTTGTGTTAAGAAATTTTATATTTCAAGAGTATGAATTTTGTACCTGAAATAAATTAATAAATGTGTCTTATTATGTTATAAATTTATGTGTTTTTAATTGTATTGTGAAATTCTGTGCTTATGAACACAAATTATGTACCTAAAACAAATTTACAAAATAAGTGTGCATAGTATTATGAAATTCTGTACATTACGAGTATGAATTAAGTACCTCGTCATTTCGATTCAGGATCCATAATGCTATATGGACCCTGGTCCATGATATAAATTGCCACCATTACGGAGTATATATTATGTATGGACGTGAATCAAATTTTTTGCACGACGGAAGAGATGATAAATGTCATGTTTTAATTTATGTTGCTTTTTTTATTCCCTAATAAGGTGGACCATAATGTGATATGTTTTTTTTTTTTTTAATTAAACTAGCTACAACATTATAGTCTGATCTTTTATTATATATATACTGCTGAAGAAAGATGATTGAGACATAATATATAATCGAGGCCCTCGCGTTGCCTGTAACCCTTGATTACAAGCCTAGCCTTATACTTCTCGATGGAACCATCAGGTTTCATCTTCCTTTTAAAGACCCACTTGGATTCTAAGGGTTTACTACCCGGAGGAAGATTAACAAGTTCCCAAGTGTGATTCTGTAGGATAGAATCCACTTCACTTTTTATAGCCTCTTTCCACATTGGTCCTTCTGTAGAAGTCACGGCTTCTACATACGTTCGAGGCTCGTTTTCTATCAAACAAGATAGAAAATCAGGTTCGTTTTCTAATAAACAAGTTAGAGTACCCGAATCATACTCTAACAAGTAAGTTAGAAAATCAGGACCGAATGATTTTCCAACTCTCGCCCGCTTACTGCGTCTCGGCTCGAGCTCGGGTTCTCTCTCGAATTCCCCACTATCATTATCCATAGTTTCGTCAAACGTTCGTTTTGACGTACTTGGTCCCTCGTTGGACCTACAAGGAAATATATTTTCGAAGAAATATGCATTCCTTGATTCTATTATCGTGTTCTCGTGTACGTCCGGATTATGGGACTCGTGTACTAAGAACCGATAAGCACTACTATTATGTGCATAGCCAATAAAGATACAGTCCACCGTCTTAGGACCTATCTTTACTTTCTTAGGTGTTGGCACCAAAACTTTGGCAAGACACCCCCACACTTTCAGGTACTGGTAGGAAGGTTTCCTACCGTTCCACAGCTCATAAGGAGTCTTATTGAGCTTCTTTCGGGGTACCTTATTCAAAAGGTAATTACTTGTCAAAATAGCCTCACCCCACGCATCTTGAGGTAGGCCCGAACTTATAAGCATCGCATTCATCATATCTTTCAATGTACGATTCTTTCGTTCGGCAACACCGTTCGATTGAGGTGAGTAAGGTGCAGTACGCTCTTGTATTATACCTATACTCGCACAGAAGTCACCAATAGGTGCTTCGTACTCACCACCTCGATCGCTTCTAACCTTCTTAATTCTCCGATTAAGTTGGTTTTCCACTTCATTCTTATAAAGAACGAATTTATCAACGGTTTCATCTTTGCTCTTAAGCAAATACACATAGCAGTATCGTGTGCTATCGTCGATAAATGTGATAAAATACTTATTACCACCTCTCGTTTGTATCGATCTAAAATCGCACAAATCACTATGGATTAATTCTAGTGGTTCAGTTTCCCTTTCAACCGATTTGAAAGGTACTTTCGTTAGTTTTGCCTCAACACAAATTTCACACTTGTTATTTGTGTCAATTTGAAAGTTAGGAATATGGTCCATGCTAATTAATCTACGCATAGAATTAAAATTAACATGACCTAGTCTACCATGCCACAAACTGGAAGACTCAAGCAATTAAGTAAACAGAATTAACTTTGCTTTTATTGATAACAGGAATTACATTGAGCTTAAAGAGCCCATCAGTTACATATCCTTTACCAACAAACATCCCTAACTTGGACAAAACTACTTTGTTGGACTCGAACACCATGCGAAAGTCATGCTTGTTCAACAGAGAGACAGACACAAGATTCTTCCTCAGCTCAGGAACATACAGCATGTTGTTCAACGTTAGTTCCTTCCCGGAAGTCATCTTCAGAACCACCTTGCCCATGCCTTCCACAGCAGACTGAGCAGAGTTTCCCATCCACACCTTTTCACCCTCAACGGTCTCAAAGGTGTTGAACATCTCTCGGTTGCAACACAAGTGCCTGGTTGCACCGGTATCAATGAACCACTCACGAGGGTTTGAGCCCACGAGGTTCACCTCGGTCACCATAGCCGAAAGGCTAATCTCGACCTCCTTCTGACTGCTATCTCCAACAACATTGGCTTCAGAACTCTTGTTCTTCTTCCTTGGAGCCTTGCATTCAGATGCTCTGTGGCCATGCTTGCCACAATTGTAGCATTCACCAGGAAACTTGTTCTTGGTAACGCCACCTTTCGAACCTAGCTTTCGCTTGTCCTTCTTGTTCCTCTTGGAGCTCTTACCGTGCTCCACAACGTTGGCCTTAGCGCCAACAACGATAGGAACTTTCCTATCATTCGTCCTGTTCCCTTCCTCAATCCTGAGTCGCTGGATCAGGTCCTCCAGATTCATCTCCTTTCGCTTATGCTTAAGGTAGTTCTTGAAGTCCTTCCAACCTGGAGGCAACAAATGAATCACAGATCCCACTTGGAAGGCTTCACTTAGCAACATGCCCTCGTCACGGATCTCATCAAAGATTAATTGCAAATCTTCTACCTGACTTAGCACGGTCTTTGAATCAACCATTTTGAAGTCGAGGAATCGGCCAACTACAAATTTCTTTGAGCCGGCATCCTCACTTCGGTATTTATGATCCAAAGCTTCCCACAACGCTTTAGATGTGCTTATCTTTCGATATACATCATATAGCGTGTCACACAATCCATTCAGGATGTAGTTTCGGCAAAGGAAGTCCGAATCCTTCCAATAGCCAACTGCCATCACGGATTGTGCATCTTGTTCCTTCAACTCGGGAACCTTCTAGGACAAGAACCTTGCCAAGCCGAGAGTTGGTAGGTAGAACAACATTTTCTATTGCCACCTCTTGAAGTTCGAACCAACACCGGTGAACTTCTCCGGCTTTTCAGCCGAACCACTCGGTACCGAAGGTACCCGAGACATGGGAATATATCCCTCAGTGCTCCCACCATCTTGTGAACCAACGTTCACTGGTGTAGCTTGGGAATTAGCAACATTGTTGCCATTCCCTCCACTGTTATCCACAACCACATTATTGTTGCCGTTTCTTCCATTGTTGTCCGCAACAACATTATCCTCCCCATCGATTGGCAGTACGGGATGCTCCATTTTCTTCAAGGAAATTCGGAGAAAACAACCAACGGGAAAACGAAGAATAAGGTTTTAAGACTGTTGATACCGTTGGTAGAAAACACAAATAATAATCAAAAATAAGATTTTTATTTTCTGGAAAGAAGGGAAGAAAAGATGAAGAATTTGGCTAGTGTTTGGTGTAGGGTTTTTGCAAGAGTCAAGTGAGCACTCTTTCCTTAAAACCTTATTTGCCACCTCCCAAAGATGCTAGGAGCGTTGTGGCCTAGGTTTCCCAGGATAAAACTTGCTAGTGATTCAATGTTTGAGCACTCAAACAAGGAATCCGGCGAGCAAGACACGGTTATGAACACAGTATGGCTAAGAAGAGGAGTAGAAGCAGAAATTTGAGGTTGGAAAACAAAGGTTTCGTGCAGTGTTCTTACTGTTCTCACTGTGTGTAAAACTCT